GCATTCTGCTGTGTGCCCATTGTTAGTTAAATCATAGGCATCTGAAAAGTACACTTGCGCCTACCCCCACATACCCCCCCCAGTACCTCCCAGTGGTTCTTCCACATTGAAGTACAGTGGTACCTCGGGTTAAGAACTTAATTCATTCTGGAGGTCCATTCTTAACCTGAAACTGTTCTTAACCTGAAGCACCACTTTAGCTAATGGGGCCTCCCACCGCCACCACACGATTTCTGTTCTCATCCTGAAGCAAAGTTCTTAACCCGAGGTACTATTTCTGGGTTAGCGGAGTCTGTAACCTGAAGTGTCTGTAACCTGAAGCATATGTAACCAGAGGTACCACTGTTTATGATGACATTTCCATTTCACCTTAAGGAACAGGCATGAGATTGTTGCATGTCACATGTCTGTTTACACTCCAGCACAGTATGCTGGGAACTTCTGTATAGCTTTTGCTTTTGCTGTTCTCTCAGAGACGACATGTGAGAGAGACGACATGTTTCTTTGTTCTGATTTATGTTTAATAAATCTGTAGCTGTAGCATGACTTCATACGCCTCACGCCTACTTCTGCGTGCGCAGTACACTCTGCTAATTGCGTGCCCTGGCTATTGAAGTTCGGGTTGCTGATTTACGTCGGAGCACTGGTCCCATCACCTCCTGGCAAATAGAAGGAGAAGAAATGGAGGCAGTGAGAGATTTTACCTTCTTGGGCTCCATGATCACTGCAGATGGTGACAGCAGCCACGAAATTAAAAGACGCCTGCTTCTTGGGAGAAAAGCAATGACAAACCTAGACAGCATCTTAAAAAGCAGAGACATCACCTTGCCAGCAAAGGTCCGTATAGTTAAAGCTATGGTTTTCCCAGTAGTGATGTATGGAAGTGAGAGCTGGACCATAAAGAAGGCTGATCGCCAAAGAATTGATGTTTTTGAATTATGGTGCTGGAGGAGACTCTTGAGAGTCCCATGGACTGCAAGAAGATCAAACCGATCCATTCTGAAGGAAATCAGCCCTGAGTGCGCACTGGAAGGACAGATTGTGAAGCTGAGGCTCCAGTACTTTGGCCACCTCATGAGAAGAGAAGACTCCCTGGAAAAGACCCTGATGTTGGGAAAGATGGAGGGCACAAGGAGAAGGGGACGACAGAGAACAAGATGGTTGGACAGTGTTCTCGAAGCTACCAGCATGAGTTTGACCAAACTGTGGGAGGCAGTGGAAGACAGAAGTGCCTGGTGTGCTCTGGTCCAAGGGGTCACGAAGAGTCGGACACGACTAAATGACTAAACAACAACAAAGGTAAAGGACTTTGTGGCGGTTAAATCCAGTCAAAGGCGACTATGGGGTTGCATCACTCATCTCGCTTTCAGGCTGAGGGAGCTGGTGTTTGTCCACAGACAACTTTCTGGGTCATGTGGCCAGCAGGACTAAACTGCTTCTGGCGCAACAGGACACAGTGACAGAAATCAGAGCGCTAGGAAACGCCACTTACCTTCCCCGCAGCAGCGGCACCTATTTATCTACTTGCACTGGTGTGCTTTTGAACTGCTAGGTTGGCAGGAGCTGGGACAGAGCAACAGGAGCTCACCCTGTCGCGGGGATTTGAACTGCCGACCTTCTGATCAGCAAGCCCAAGAGGCTCCGTGGTGTAGACCACAGCGCCCCCCGCATCCCGCTTGAGCAATATTGCCACCTGAGGGCAAGATGCCACATTCCCCATTCTGTGTATGACATCTGACAATTATGATTATTTATTAAATTTGTTTACTGCCCTTCATCCGAAGATCTCAGGGCAGTTCACAAGGTTCACAAGGATCAAAGCACAAAATAAATAGTTGGAACAAAAACAAAACAAAACAATACCCCACCGCTGTCGCTGCCGCCCCCACCGACACATTTATAATCCATTGGCAGGTTGAGAAGAGTTCCCTACCAGGACAGACTTTGCTCGTGTGCTCAAGACATCGATTTAATAATATATTTTGCTGCACTGTGCAAAATATGAACTGATATTACCCTTGCTGGTACCTTTCCAGGGAAAATCAGAGGCTCACTATGCCAGGTTCTTATTGGAAGACCGGACAAATGCTAGAACATTAGCAGTGGCAAAGTTTTTATCAGTGGTTGCAAGAACCAATGATCCCTATCTTTTGAACAAAATGCTTGTTTAACCTGGAGGTGTGGTGCTGGAGGAGACTCTTGAGAGTCCCATGGACTGCAAGAAGATCAAACCTATCCATTCTAAAGGAAATCAGCCCTGAGTGCTCACTGGAAGGACAGATCCTGAAGCTGAGGCTCCAGTACTTTGGCCACCTCAGGAGAAGAGAAGACTCCCTGGAAAAGACCCTGATGTTGGGGAAGAAGGAGAAGGGGCCGACAGAGGACGAGATGGTTGGACAGTGTTCTTGAAGCTACCAGCATGAGTTTGACCAAACTGCGGGAGGCAGTGGAAGACAGGAGTGCCTGGCGTGCTCTGGTCCATGGGGTCACGAAGAGTTGGACACGACTAAACAACTAAACAACAACAACAAGGCTGTATGAATTGTGCATTGCTTTGTAACGATTTGTTGGATCTCTGGACCATAATAAAGATTGATTGATTGATTGATTGGTTGATTGATTTATCCTCCAAAGGCCTAGTTGAAGAGGAATGTTTTTGCCTGGTGCCTAAAGATCTATAATGAAGGCGCCTCCTTCCTGTAACTCTTGCAGCCAAGCTTCTTGGCCTTTTGGCTAAGATCAAGTGTACTGGGGCCAAATGTATTGCTCTGCTTTCCTTGGGACCCCAAAAGCGAGGCCGAGAGAGGGCTTTTGTTGTCTGGGCAGCATAGGACCTCCATACACACTGGCCAAGCTTGTGCCCCTGGAGGCCACTTAGGTGCTATTCACACAGCAAAAACAACACGGGAGGCAGCACTTGCGAGTTACCAGTCTCCACAGTCACTGCAGGCGCTATGATTCTCCAGTGGTTTGGCTTCACCCCCGGAGATGCACTCCGTCTGTTGAGACAGACGGAAGCCAACAACAACAACATCAGAGGTGTGGAACCTGTGGCCCTTTGGATATTTTTCAGTCCCAGACAGCACTGCCAACGGTCAGGGATTGCAGGAGTTGTCATTTGGCAGCATTTGGAGTATCGTGGGTTTTCCCCACGCCTGGGTCACGTGGTAAGATGGCCACTTCAAAGTTGGTCGTGGGTCTTTGTCTTCTTTGGCAATCACTCGTAGCCAAGTAAGATGGCCTTCCATGAACATGGTTGTAATAGTAAGTCCGTAGGTGACTGTGGAGGCCAATTCTGGATCCTCACGTCCTTCCACAGTGGGGACATATGTTTCCAGGTGGGAGTTGATCACGGTGTGGATTTGCCAAGCGTGCCTTTCTCTTAGCACATTTATCCCTTGCAGCCTGAGTTTGAGTGTCTTCAAAGCCCATGACACCTTTGGTAAAGGCTGTTCTCCAACTGGAGTGCTCGCAGGCCAGTGTTTCCCAGTTGCTGGTGTTTATACTACATTTTTTTGAGAGAGTCTTTAAACCTCTTTTGTTGACCACCAGCATTACGCTTTCCATTTTAAAGTTCAGAATAGAGTAGTTGCTTTGGAAGACGATAATCAGGCATCTGCACAACATGACCAGTCCAACAAAGTTGATGTTGAAGAATCATTGCTTCGACACTGGTGATCTTTGCTTCTTCCAGTAAACTGGTATTAGTTTGTCTGTCTTCCCAAGCGATGTGTAACAATTTTTGGAGACACCGTTGTTGGAATCTTTTGAGGAGTTGGAGATGGCATGTATAAGTGCTCCATGTTTATAAGTAGGGGCGCGGGTGGCGCCGTGGGTTAAACCACAGATCCTAGGACTTGCCGATCAGAAGGTCAGCGGTTCAAATCCCCGCGACAGAGTGAGCTCCCGTTGGTCGGTCCCTGCTCCTGCCAACCTAGCAGTTTGAAAGCACATTAAGTGCAAGTAGATAAATGGGGACTGCTCCTGCGGGAATGTAAATGGCGTTTCCATGCGCCGCTCTGGTTTCGCCAGAAGTGGCTTAGTCATGCTGGCCACATGACCCGGAAGCTGTACGCCGGCTCCCTCAGCCAATAAAGCGAGATGAGCACCACAACCCCAGAGTCGGTCACGACTGGACCTAATGATCAGGGGTCCCTTTACCTTTACCTTTATGTTTATAAGTGGTTGTAGGTATTCACCCAATAAGTGTTGTCAGGGGATGCCTGGGGTATCCGGCCTCAAAGGAAGGGCACGGCTCTGATAATTCATGGTGATCCTTTCCAATTCTTAAGGCGCTGTGGTTCTTAGGCGATATTTTAAAAAATAAAAACCATCTTTTCCAAGGAGCCAAGTGAGTGTGGTATTTACAATGCTCTTTGAGAAAAGGTCAGAGATTTGTCCTTTGCCAAAGAGTGATGGTGTACTTGCAGTCGACAAACGGGGGCTGGGGGGTGGCAGGCCTGCTGTACCAGCCTGGCACCCTCTGGAAGGGGCCACAAAGGCAGAGGGCGTCACCCAGCGGCTTTTAATTCAATGCCTGTCATTCCGATTGCGGCGGGTTAGAGATCAGAGGCAGGCAGCGATATCTACTGAAGAGACATCAGACGGTGTAGTAAAAAGGGTAATCCATTTATTTTTAGAGAAGTTTTCCACTCGGAGATCATACACATGACAGATCACAGAAACACATGCAAGCATGAAATTTAATTTTTGAGAATTCTCTTTCCCGGGGCTTCCATGTAAAATGACAGCGAATGGAGGGGAAAGGAAGAGAAGGGGGAGGTGTGGCGGTGGGGGGGGGGGAGAGAACCCTAATCGTGACAAGACAATTACTGCGATTTAAGAGAGAGAGGGAGAAAATTATATATTTGCTATGCGTGAAACGAAACAAAAACAAATAAAGGGCCTTTTTGTTCAGTCTGCTCATTCATCGACTGAAGCCCAAAGAGGGGTCTTGCAAATCAAGCAGGCTTTAAAGGAACTTGGAAGATGATGTTTCAGGGGAGGGCTGTGGCTCAGCGGCAGAACACCTGCTATGCATGCAGAACGTCCCAGGTTCAATCCCCAGTCTCTCCAGGTTGGGCTGGGAAAGAATCCTGCCCAAAACCTCTGGAGAGCTTCTCCCATGTAGCATAGTCCATGGTTTTCCAAACTTGGGTCTCCAGCTATTTTTGGACTACCATTCCCATCATCCCTGACCACTGGTCCTGCTAGCAAGGGATGATGGGAGTTGTACAGCTCCATCTGGTACGCAGGCTGAGACCCTACCTGCCCGTGGACTGTCTCGCCAGAGTGGTGCATGCTCTAGTTATCTCCCGCTTGGACTACTGCAATGCGCTCTACGTGGGGCTACCTTTGAAGGTGACCTGGAAACTGCAACTAATCCAGAACACAGCAGCTAGACTGGTGACTGGGAGGGGCCGCTGAGACCACATAACACCTGTCTTGAAAGACCTACATTGGCTCCCAGTACGTTTCCGAGCACAATTCAAAGTGTTGGTGTTGACCTTTAAAGCCCTAAATGGCCTCGGCCCAGTATACCTGAAGGAGCGTCTCCACCCCCATCGTTCTGCCCGGACACTGAGGTCCAGCTCCAAAGGCCTTCTGGCAGTTCCCTCATTGCGAGAAGCAAAGCTACAGGGAACCAGGCAGAGGGCCTTCTCGGCAGTGGCGTAGCGTGGGGGGTGCAGGGGGGGCCGGCCGCACCGGGCGCAACATCTGGGGGGACGCTCGCACTCGCAGCTCTCTGCCCCTACCTGGCTCACTCACTCTCTCTCACTGCAGTGCTGGCTGTGCGAATCCGATCCGAGCCGCTGGGTCGCCGCCCACTGTGGAGGGGGTGGGTGCCAGGCATGCGGTGCGGAGAGAGAGCGAGGGACTATCTGGGGGAGGGACAGTGCAGCGGCCGCCCAGCGCAGCGCTGAGCGCAGGAGAGAACCACATTAGACCAGCCCAGGCAGCAGCAAGAAGAAGCTGGCAGCGGCGGCAGGTTAGGGGTTAGGGGGCGCAAATTACTTGCCTTGCCCCGGGTTAGGGGGCGCAAATTACTTGCCTTGCCCCGGGTGCTGACAACCCACGCTACGCCGCTGCTTCTCAGTAGTGGCACCCGCTCTGTGGAACGCCCTCCCATCAGATGTCAAAGAGATAAACAACTACCTGACATTAGAAGATATCTTAAGGCAGCCCTGTTCAGGGAAGTTTTTAATGTGTGACATATTAGTGTACTTTTGGTCTTTGTAGAAGCTGCCCAGAGTGGCTGGGGAAACCCAGCCAGATGGGCGGGGTACAAATAATAAATTATTATTATTATTATTGTTGTTGTTGTTGTTGTTGTTGTTGTTGTTGTTGTTATTACAGCTGGAGACCCAGGTTTGAAAAACCCTGGTGTAGACAATACTGAGCTAGAGAGGCCATTGGACTCTGCATATGGCAGCTTCACCATTTCCTATTTAAATGAGCAGCTCCAGAATCACAGGGACTAGAATCTTACTGTTTTTAAGCAAAAGTCACGGCGCAGCAGCAGATCACTTCCTTTACGTTACGTTCGTTCTGCATCATCTCCAGGCTGGGCTGAGGAGGTGCCCTGTCTAAAACCCTGGAGAGTGGGGGAGAAAGGCTCCTTCAAAAAGGTTATTGTAAAGTTGGCAAAGGTTCAGGAAAGGGCAAGCAAAATTACCACGGGGACGGGGAGACTCCCCTAAGAAGAAAGCTTGCAGAGTTTGGAGCTTCTTGGTTCACATAAAAGGTGGAGGGAAGGGTGGCTGGTGAGCAGAGCAGCATCCCCTAGTAAATTAGTAAAACTGGTAAGCCCAAGAATTTCAAAGAAAAGAAGGGTTGTCAAACTGATCTAGAGACTGAGTGAGGAATGACTCAATGACTCTAGAAAAAGATGTGCCGAAACTCACCAATAACGCCTCCCTCTTTCTCCTAGAATGGCGATGGTTCTACAGTTCTATGACTCTACGTTTAAGAAGCAAACAAGCAAATAAACAGAACTAGTTTGCCTCGTCCCTTTGACATGGCCTTAATTCACGGCTGGAGGCTGGAGGCGTGATGGGAAAATGTACAGCCTGCCTGGAAACTCATCCTGGCAGCTTCGCTGGGCATCTTCCGCCCGACTGCTTTAACTTCACATCAAACTCGCTTGCTCCCCTTCTTTCTGTGGTGCAGGGATGTGGGGCAGAGAGCCATGCTCCCCACATCTTTGGCTGGAGCCAAAAGGCTGGCTTTCAGATTAATCACCCTCCCCCCTTCCTTCCAGTCTCAAAATGCAGTTAGAGCATTGCAGTTACTTAGCCTCCCAGACACACAGAGAGATCCCATCTGCACCACACATTTAAAGCAGTATCACCCACTTTAAAGGGTCATCGTCCCCGCACCCCAAAGCACCCTGGGGACTGTAGGTTGTTACAGGTGCTGAGAGTTGCCAGGAGAGCCTCCCTCATAGAGCTACAATTCCCACAGCTCCCTAGGAAAAGGGGTTGGTTGCTAAAGCATTCTGGGAATAGGGGTCTAACCTAAGACAGTCCTTACCCACAGGCTTGCAATCTTATAAGAACATGGCACACAAGGGGAGAGGGACAGGGAGAGAAGGGGAAATTTTTTAAAAGACACCAATTTCTGCTCCCGTTTCTATTTTCATCGAACTCCTTTGACTTCCCTACTTGGGAGGCAAGTGCCATCAAAAGCGATGAGGTTCACTTCTAAGTGAGCACAACTCGGAGTGAGCTGTAGGTGCTTCAACTCTGACCCCTGGTTCAAAGGGTCTCAGATCTTCCATTTGTCCATTCTGTGTCCAGGGCAGCTGTTTACCAGCTCCATCTGGTATGCAGGCTGAGACCCTACTTGTCCGCGGACTGTCTTGCCAGAGTGGTGCATGCTCTAGTTATCTCCCTCTTGGACTACTGCAATGCACTCTACGTGGCGCTACCTTTGAAGGTGACCCGGAAACTACAACTAATCCAGAATGCGGCAGCTAGACTGGTGACTGGGAGCGGCCACCAAGACCATACAACACCAGTCCTGAAAGACCTACATTTATGTAGGCCAGTATGGTGTAGTGGTTAAGAGCGGTGGACTCGTAATCTGGTGAACCAGGTTTGCTTCCCCGCTCCTCCACATGCAGCTGCTGGGTGACCTTGGCCTAGTCACACTTCTTTGAAGTCTCTCAGACCCACTCACCTCACAGAGTGTTTGTTGTGGGGGAGGAAGGGAAAGGAAAATGTTAGCCGCTTTGAGACTCCTTTGGGTAGTGATAAAGCGGGATATCAAATCCAAACTCTTCTTCTTCTGCATTGACTCCCAGCACGTTTCCGAGCACAATTCAAAGTGTTGGTGCTGACCTTTAATGCCCTAAAGGGTCTCGGTCCAGTATACCTGAAGGAACGTCTCCACTGCCATCATTCTGCCCGGACACTGAGGTCCAGCGCCGAGGGCCTTCTGGTGGTTCCTTCACTGCAAGAAGCAAGGTTACAGAGAACCAGGCAGAGGGCCTTCTCGGTAGTGGTGCCCACCCTGTGGAACGCCCTCCCTTCAGATGTCAAGGAAAGACTCTGGCCACTTCATGAGAAGAGAAGACTCCCTGGAAAAGACCCTGATGTTGGGAAAGATGGAGGGCACAAGGAGAAGGGGACGACAGAGGACAAGATGGTTGGATAGTGTTCTCGAAGCTACCAGCATGAGTTTGACCAAACTGCGGGAGGCAGTGGAAGACAGGAGTGCGTGGCGTGCTCTGGTCCAGGGGGTCACGAAGAGTCAGACATGACTAAACGACTAAACAACTATATGACTTTTAGAAGACATCTGAAGGCAGCCCTGTTTAGAGAAGTTTTTAATGTTTTATTATATTTTTAATATTGTGTTGGGAGCTGCCCAAAGTGGCTGAAGTCTGTATGTAGTCCAAATCTGTATGTAACTATCAATGAGCATAAAACAAGATTCCCTCTTTTCCTGCACCTTGTTAAATCGAGCCATTGTTCCTGGGAGTTCTGTACCAACAGGGCTTGATAACAGCACTCAACTTTACTCTTCTGAAGGGGGAAGATTAACATTTTCTGGAACTTTACCCTAATCCTTGTTTTGAGTTAACCTCAAGGAGACAGGATTAGTAACTCTCACCCACCACCCACCAGAGGAAGGGAGAATTACGGGCTGCAACAACCAGATGCATTGTAACCTCCCATGCATTATCTTCGCGAAACAGGATGGTGAGCAAGGAAGGAAGAAAGCAGGATTCTGTGTCAAAGGCAGATGCCCTGATCTAGGAATCAGATTCATGTGGGGAAAGATCCCATAGAAGCCAGAGAGCCTGTGGATGGAATGGCCCTTCCTACCCTTTCCAGGGAAGTTTCGGAAAAGGGCAACCAGGATTATCGAGGGAGGGAGAGACCCCCCCCCCAGAGGAAACATGGCAGCATTTGGGGCTTTTTAGTTGAACAAGTGAGAGGGAAAAGGTAAAGGTAAAGGGACCCCTGACCATTAGGTCCAGTCGTGGCCGACTCTGGGGTTGCGGCGCTCATCTCGCTTCACTGGCCGCGGGAGCCGGCGTACAGCTTCCAGGTCATGTGGCCAGCATGACTAAGCCGCTTCTGGCGAACCAGAGCAGCGCATGGAAACGCCGTTTACCTTCCCGTCTGAAGGGGGGAAGGGGGGGACAGGTAAGCACCGCCCTGTATAATTTAGATGGAGCGCACACACACTATTACAATGGCAATGCCCATTAACTGGGGGGGGCGGCTCTCCTCAGATATTTCAGGCGGGGCGAAGGAACCTTGACCCCCAGGAGTTGGCTCCCACGCCCTCCTCCCTATTAAAGTGGGGTGCTCCTCACTTTATTGTTGGGAATCTGAATACGTGCAGCTTCACACACAGTCAATTAGAGTTTGGCTGACAGTAAGTCTGCCTGGTGATACAGAGGCATGGAGACAGCTCCATGATTGGTCAAGCTCTCTCACAGGAATGATGATTTATGGCCTACTAATTGGAATGTGTTAGTTCAGTGGTTCAGAGTTCGAGTTAAGAGTTGTGTAAGAGAGAGCTAGTCAAAGATCCGTGTTCTGTTCTGTTCCTGTAAATAG